TCAGGTGGTCTGTGGCTACTGTAATGTGGCGTTGCGTAAAAACGCTGTGATGTGATGTGTGTTTCCTCTGTGCCACAGTGTGATGTTGCTGTGGGATATCTGAGAGGGAGAGGAGGAGGGCACTGTTAGCACAATAGTTGCAGTCTGTTGCTCCTCCACGTTGCTTGGCTCAATCCTTTATCTACTGGACAAAGCGTAATTGATAGTTGCCCACATACTGTATCTGCTTAGCATGGATCAGCCCTGGACGAAGACACACACACACACACACACACCCCGAAATCCTGACGTGAGAACGGATAATTATTGACATTTTCTATATTTGTGGGCGAAAAACACGACTGTCGTCATTCACACACACTCACACACCTAACAAAGAGTGTGTCTGTGTGCATGGATCAGTGACATTTCAGTTTGCCAGTAATGTTGTGTGTGTGTTAGTGTGTGTGTGTGTGTTCGTGTGTGTGTGTCCTCAACCAGTATTCATCAAACACTTCAACACTAATTTGACATCGTCCAGTTACTACGACCTGTAGTTGACTTGTGTGAGCTTTCAGCCACTAGTTTTACTGAGTGATGCAGCAGTGTAGCTTCAGTTACTAAACATGAGTGTGTGTGTGTGTGTGAACTCTATTTTATTGTCATTTGATCAGAAAACCCAACTCTCCCAGTGCCTAGGGTGAGATCTGCCCCCACACTCAGTTCAATAACCACAGGACGTTTGCAGTGTGTGAGTGTGTGTGTGTGTGTGTGGGTGTGTGGGTGTGTGTAGGGGTCAACGACATAGTTAATTAATGCATGCCCCACCCCCTCTGGCATACAGTGTAATGAGTCCAGTTACTGTCTGGCTATGAAGTTGTCCTCATTTCTTATTACCTCTCTCCTTTATGTCATCTGTTACCATTTAGTTGCTCAGTCAACACTTTTTTTTGTCCAACATGATGCCAAAAGAATTTTAGACACCTTTCTTTACAAAACATAAACTTAAACTTCTACATAACCTTTTATGCATTTAACATTATGCAAAGCTAGGGAAAGTTCTGGTAAATTAACTAAAATTCAATTGTAAGTCTTGTCTGTTACCAGTGACCAGCTTCATCTTCTCAGCTTAGACGCTTAATCGTTAAATATTCAAGGGTTATACGAATGGTAGGATTGCCTTATTGCTATAGTTTAATTGTTCCAGGATTTAACCAGGTGAATATTTCACATAGAATGCTTCATATTTTTCTAAAATCTTCATGTAAACCACCCTGTGCCCTGGAGGTCAGACCAACGTAACAAAAAAATGGACTTCCAGATCGAAGGCTTTGTCATTTAAATTCACTATGAATGAATGTATGTGACATTAGGCAGGTGCAAGTTATTGGACACAACTCCAGGCTGCGGGTTTGAGGTGATTTATACTCTCACTGTGTGTGTGTGTGTGTGTGTGTGTGTGTTGATATATGAGGGGTACTTGAGTGCATTTGTCTCTGTGCCTGTTAGTCTGTTTGCTTGTCTGTTGCAGATCTGAGCAGAGGTCAACTGACTGGAGTCCATCTGGGCACGAGTCGATGTTGTCTTTGCTTTTGTTTGTGGACTCCGTGTGTGTGTGTGTGTGTGTGTGTGTGTGTGAGTAAATGAATGTCTTGGCGCACGTCTTAAGTAAAGGAAGGGGGGGGGGCTTAGGTTATCCTATTGTTGTCAGGGCATATTTTTTAATGATATTCGAGGGTCATTTGCATGTCACAGCTAGCAGCGGCAGCGGGTGGGGGCTTATTGATTGTTTGCGGGTGTGGCTGGAGACAGAAGGGAGCTAAAAATGCTGGCTGAGGTCTGGAGGTCAAGCCTGGATACACACTCAAACACCAGTGCAAAACACATGGACAGACAAAACCGAAAATCTCTCAGTTTCTGTGTCTTATCCGGCTTCAGGTCAGTTTAAACTGCGTATGAGGGGGGGCTCTCTGACATGCCCCAAAGGACCCAGATCCCTCCTCACCCCCACCTCCCTACCCACTGACCTTCATCTCTCTCCCTTTTTGGGTTCTGTCGTCTCCTTTCAGGGTTTTCTCTCCTGCTAAGCACATTCCTAGATTTAAGACTTGCTAATTTAAAAACACCAAGCAAAGCAAGTTATTTAATTTTGATTTAATTTTATTTTTTTAATGTTTGACTAAGGTCTAAAAGCTGGATTATAGTCTCAAGTCAAAAGTGCTTACTGTTTCAAACAGCCACATTGGCTGTAGGAAGCAATGTAAATACCTTTTTCTTAAATTATGTGTGACAATTCCACCATTTGTTGATAATTAGTTTTTTTTATAAATGAAGTTGTCATAGATTAACTTTCATTTTATCCATATTGATTGAATTGTTCCTTAAAATTTCCAAGGAGTAAGTGTTACATTTCCTTTCTTATCTCTCTTCTATTGGATCCTGACCACAGGTGCAAATTGGTTGTCGAGCTGACCTCAGTGCTGACTGCTGTTAACTCGACAGCTCATTTGCACCTGTGGTCAGGGAACAGTATAAATTACTGGGTTAAGACAGCAAATGAGGTATAAACAAACATGCTGAAGCGGTCCTACGTAGCTCGTGAGTCGTATTTAAAAGGGTAATGTCGCTTTTGCTGTCATATTACTGTAATTTTCCATGTATTTTTGCTGGTCGTCCTTCCACCCACACTCCTAGATTCACAGGTTTTACTGACTGACCTCCCTTGCAGCCATGACTCGTCAATGAGAAAACCCAGATAGCCTCCAGCTGAGGGGGACCTTGCCTGCACTACATGCATGGACAACTCCATGTTTGTGTGAGAGAGATTTTGTGCGTGTGTGTACGCATGCTCTACATTCATGCATGATCAACCCTGTCTTCTCCGTGACCTGTGTGTGTTTTGCGTGTGAATTGTGTTCATGCATGGCTGACGTGTGTTTGAGCTTTTATGGGTTACTTGTATATGCAAGGAGAATGTGGAAAGAACACATATTTCTATTTTATCAGAGTGATCCAAAAAGATCTCGAGTGTGGCTCACTGTTTGATATAGAATAGCGAAGAGAACACAAAATCCTGTTCAATGGAGATGAGAATGAAAAATGAAAAATGGCTAAAAAGCCAAGACAAAGGTGTATCAACTGTGCACAAGTCTTGAAAACTTTCCTAATCCACTGCCAACGTATCATTCTGATCTGACATTTTCACATCTTAATCGACATTTGCCAACATTTTTAAATACACAAAGGGTAGAACATTGTAAAACTCAATGTTAGAGCCCACAATTGTAATCATTCTGTTCTGAAGCATGCAGCTTGGTCTTTGTTTTGTCAGTCAGCTAATACTTTCCCAAAGCAGGTAATGTACTTTAGTTGTGAAAAATATTGAGTGAATAAAATTGTTAAAATTAAGATATTACTCATGTTTTCATATTTTATTTATAATTTGTTTAATTAGTTGTTTATTTTTATACAACATTGCATTTGACTTTTTTTGTTTTGCCTTGGCATAATTTATACATGTCTTTCAGGATGTTTATTTTCATTCTCCTGAATTATAGCCTCCAATTTCAACATCACTTGTAAGTTTGTGAAATAACTACACGACAGCCAAAGATAATGAAGTCGTTCCTCCCACGTATTTCTTGTTCTCTTGGGCATACTTGGTTTGTCTGCCTGCTTTATACCTGCTATCCTGTTCTCGCTCCTCTTTATCCTCACCCCATCCAGTTAAAGCAGAAAGCCACCCTCCTTGAGCCTTGTCCTGCTGGAGGTTTCCTCCTGGTAAAGGGGGTTGTTTTGTTGACCGGCTCACGTGCTGGCTCATAGGGAATCCACGTGAAACTTTGGATTTATTGGATTCTCTGTAAAACAAATTGTAAGGTTGCCATCTTACTATGGTGAATGTCCTGAGATTTACATATGTTACAAATTGGCATGATATAAATAAAGCTTGTTTAAATGGAATTGAAAAATAATTTCTACAACTTTTAATTATTAATTATGTTGGCTGTCATTCTTACATTCATTAGTGTTGTCCCATGTTTTGTCAACCCCACCATCCACCCCAACCTCCTCCCTACACTTGTGGCTCATGACAAATGTCTCGTGACACTTTGATCTGCTCCCATCATAACCACTAGACCACTTGAATGTCCGTAACTTCATGTTCGTAACATGTTGTTTTTGGGATTGTTTTGGTTTTAACTCACATTTCATTTCGATCATACGGTTAGTTTGGATTGTTGTAAACTTGTTCTAGCATATCCTGATTTGGTTACATTTCCGGTGCAGCTCTAATGAGGCATGAACAGAGCTGCGTTTGTGTCCGCAGTCCTTCTATTGACCTGCGCACATGGACATGGAAACCATGAATTGGCCTTCAGTGTACAGCTTTGATTGGCCAAATGGGAGAACCTATTGCAACACACACTGGAGACGCGGGTTATAATTCAGAGGTCTGGAACCAGGTTCTACGCTGCAGAACTGCTGCTATGTGTTTTTGTGGTTCCATATTGTTCTGATTAAGGTTCGGAACTTTTAGTTATGCTTTTATTGCTTTGCCAAAAAATGTATAACACCCAAGTTGAGTCCAAGAAACAACTATGTCTCCCAGCAGAATCATTCCTCTGTAATCTTTCACTGATGTTGTTGTCAGTGTACTGCACTGGTTTTCCAGCATTTGTCTTGCACGTGTCTGTGGGACATTTGTTCATAGTTTGTAACATAAGTGCATGTGAGTGTGTTTGACAGCAGCAGGGTAGTT